ATAAATTTGAATTTGTATTTGATTTGATTTTCAAATCAAATATTCAAATGTCAAATCGAATTGCGGAACCCTAGCTATAATGTAATAAAAAGATCACAGAGTATTGAAAACACCAACTAGGTAGCATTATATTTGTAACTAAATAGCATTATACTCATAACTAAATAGAATTATACTCATAATTAGATAGCATTATAGCGTAATTAGACAGCATTCTTATAAGAATGCTCTCTAGTTCTTTTGATTACATAATTTTCAATCTTTTCATTAGTTAATCTGATACAAGCTTTAGAATTTCGTTCTTCTGCTGCTAATTATTGATTAGATATTTTTGAAAAAAATTTTATCACGCTAACTTGCTATCAGATCTAATTTGACAACCTTTACTTCTTACATGAGCAATCAACTTTTTATCTCTATATGCTCGATTAAATTTTATTTGTTTGTCACATTGACATCAAATAAGTTTTGGTATTATTAATTCAAGAAAATATTTATTTTGCCATAATTTTTTTCTTTATCACAAATATTTGAAGGTAAATTAACATCTATTTCTATTTTATATTCAGAATTGGAACTACTAGTATCATCATCATCAGAATTGGTATTGGAATTGAAATTAGAATTAGAATCATCACAAATAACTTCATTGATATTACGTTTACATGAATTTTTATTAACAAATAAAGGAAAAAAATTGATAAAGTTTGTTGGATTACTTGTTTTTTTAATTTAAGATTGTTAATATCTTTTGATTTTCCTTTATTTTTAGGTCTTGTATATAGTAAAGGAAAATTTAAAGTATTCTAAATAGTTTTTGAATTTATTGAAGATTTGCCACTCATTTTTTATTTTGTAAAGAAGATATATTTTTTGTATCACTTTATATATATTTTAAAATACGATCAACCAATCATTACCATTATCATAAATGTATTATCCATCTTATATCTGGAACATAATTATATGTAATTATAATTTACCTATATGTTATTTCTTAGACCTTAAAAAGTATTACCCTTTAAGAAAACCATACATATTTTTTTTGTAATATAAATTTTAACCTCAACTATCATGTAAGATTTTGGAAATTTTTATATGAAAAATATCTTTAAGCTTACCTGAAAGTTCATATATAAGTTTTGAAGTCCTGTAAAAATACTATTACAACTTCAGAGATATTATTTTACTAAAAAATATAATAAAAAATATCTCTACAATTTTGAAAACATTATTTTATTTAAAAAATATAGTAAAAATTACCTTCACAGCTTTGGAGATATTATTTTACTAAGAAAACATAATAAAAAATACCTTATTGACTTTGAAGACATTTTCTTACTAAGAAATCATAGTAAAAAATGCCTCTACAACTTCAAAGACGTATTTTACTAAGAAAACATAGTAAAAATACCTTTACAACTTCAAAGACATTTTTTACTAAAAAACATAGTAAAAAATACCTCTGTAGCTTTAGAAATGTTTTTTTACTAAGAAATTTAGTAAAAAAATGCATTCATAGCTTCAGAAATATTTTTTACTAATAAAATAATTCTGATACCACAAAGGCGGTTATTACTAAGTTTTATTAGTAAAACCAAAGCTGCGATAGCAATTATTACTAAGTTTTTTAGGAAAACTGAGACTGCAGAATTATTTTATTAAGTTTTCTTAGTAAAACTGAAACTACAAAATTGTTTTATTAAGTTTTAATAGTAAAAATTCACTTGTTATTAAACTTACTTTGTAAAAGCTATCTTTGAATTTTTTAGTGCAATTACTAATAATTTTCTTAATTAAAACTTTAGAATAACTTTTTTTTAATATATCATTGTAAAAATTAAAAAAAATATTTATATTCGATTCGATTCGATTCGATTTGATCAAATATTTGATTTGATTTAATTTAATTTAATTCGATTCGATCAAATTCAAATCAATTCAAATTGATTTGATCAAATATTTGAGTTCAATTCGATTCGATTCGATTCGATTTGAAAAATCAGATCAAATTCAAATTGCTTAAATATTTGATTCAATTCGATTTGAGGAACCCTAAATCCAGATATCAATTTTATTTTCAATGCAATAGGCAACTTTATTGACATAATCATCCTTGCTGATCAATTTTATCAACTTTATTTTCTAGACAATGTCATTTAATTTTCATAGATATATTTAGTTTAATTTATTTTATAATTATCAAATATGTATAAATATCACTGTATTTTCATAAGTCTCGATACATTATGAGGTAAAAAACAACAATTTATTATATTATTAATAAAGCATATAATTAATCAAGTTAAAACTTATCCTTTGTAATCCTTTAACCTATGTATATATTATTATTATTTCTTAACTTTACGTAGTATTATATTGATTTATTGTATTGATTTAATGTATAGTCACTAAAATGTAATCTCTGAAATATCCAGAGTTATTCATGTGTAATTGATAATAATAATCTTTGATGTTTACTATGAATTTTCATTGTAATTCCCTGAGTTTAGTCTTAGCATTATTAATTTTTATGAATTTTATTTGAGTTACAAATTAGAAGTAACAAAGTTTAGAAGAGATTAATCAATTATGCTTAGTAAAAAAATTTATAAAAGAAAATCATGACATATTTACATATAATTATATTTGCCTTTTGAGTGTACGTAGATTAATATAACAGTTATTAAATGGAAAAGACAATATGGTTGCCAGCATTCAGATTGCTCAATCTATGTAAAATAAAGGAGATTATATGGCTAGATGTATTAGAAAATGGGAAGTCATTTTATATAAACTGGTAAACTTCCTGTCTATTCTCAAGAAAAGCATAATAAAATAAAAAGCTTGCTATATGATGAGGATTTTAGTGAAGATTATAAAGCATAGTTGCAGCAGTAAACACCAGAAACAATCTCTTCTTATAATCTAAAAATGTATATTAAAGTAGAGTTATTTTCAAAATTAACAGGAAATATCAAAAAGGATACCATTTCTGAGAAAACATGCTGAAATTATATGCATTTATAGGGATATAAATATGATAAAAGAAAGTAGAGCATTTATTATAATGGATAAAAGAGGCTGAATGTAGTAGAATATAGAAAAGAATGGCTGAAAAAAATGTTATGTATAAGAAACGTATGAAAGATTTTGATAGGAATATGTTAGACATTGTATTGGAACCCAAACTTGAGTTAGGAGAAAAAGAGCTCATTCAGGTATGCAAATGATAGATAACAAAGAATCTGGATTAAAGAAGAAGAGGATATTTTACGTCCAAAATATTTAGGACGTTCTATCATAATCTCTGCCTTCCTTTGTTCATGTCATGAGTTATTACAACTATCCAATAAACAATTGCAAGAAAATCAATACAGCATATGATAGAGCAGGTTTTTTTTTAAAATTTTGTTTTTTGCATTATTAATTATATAATGTATATTCTAATCTCTTATTATTTACAATGAAGCTCATGCACAAAGCAGTTACGATATTTGAAATATTACATCTCAGGTGTATTGCCACTTTTTGTTTCGATTAGTCAACCAACTATAATGCTATGATAGAAGATACACTGATCATAATAAGAATGAATTTAGGCCTTAAAGAAATATAGCCTAAAATGCGTGATAGTTGATATATAAACGAACGTGAAGAGAAATGCATACAATTTATGACATTCTCAGATAACCATCGAGTGGAGAAGTTAAGAGAACAACCAAAAAGATTCAAAAAAGTAGTGCTTGAGAAGCGTAGCCTTTGGCCTAAGAAAAAGATTAATTAAGAAAAATGCCGATAATGATGAGAATGATGAGATAAGGTTAGACTGCTATATATAGTGAATAATATCCTTGCAACCTGATTTTCTTGAGCAACAGTCAGCATTAGAGGAGGCAATTATTAGATCTAAACATATTTTAGAATAGTATCTGAAGTTTCATTGTGAATGTAACTTCATAGAATGATATTGGGACTTTGTAAAATGAGAGACTAGAGAGTTATGTAGTTATGATTATGTAAACCTATTAAAATGCATTTCTGAAGTTCTTATTGGTGTTCCTATAATGACTATTTGAAAATTCGCATGTAAATCATGAAGATATATGGACGCGTATAACAAAAAACTAGTGGGTAGGACTGCAGAATAGGCCTTTAACAAATACAAGTCACATTGTCGGTTACCTAAAAATATTGAAAGAAATATGGATTAGTAAGATGAGTAGATAAAGAAATGTGTAAAATTGTTTCTTATTTCCATTTTTGCTTTTAACAATTTTGCGTTTACATGTAAGAAAAAAAAATTATGAATATAAAAAGTAATTTTTTAGTTACACGAAAATGTTTATTTCTAACTGGTCGGTCTCAAATCACGTGATAAATGATCGTCGAACAAAATCACGTGATTGTCGAGTTGACTTACGGCACCAAAATTTATATTTGAAAATTTTTTATTTGTAATTGTAAATATTTAAAAAATTGTTATATATTTTTATTATTTCTTATAAAAAATTAAATTATTTTTAAAAATGTTTTTTTAATTAACATATATAGTAGATTATGTAATGAATATATTTTTAAAGATTATTAAGCTAAAAGTTCGTAAACAAGTTTTTATTATAAATAAATATTATTTGATCGCGCATCGCGTAACGCATCAAATCTGTGCGACCAAATATATACAGCTGCAAAAAAAAAAAAAATAATAATTTTCGTGACTATTTGGGACCTAATATTTGCAGAAAATCAATCACCTATAATATGTCTACCTCATCGTCTTCGGCTAAACTCCATCAAGAACTTAATATCCTCCCACTAGCATCTAGTATGTTTTTACACGATAATTTAATTCTCGGTCATATTTGTAAAGACGAAATTTACTAATATTGTGCCTCTCTCCTGCTTCATGTCATAGATCAACCAGTTGCTGGTAAGTTAATGTTAAAAAATATAATTTTTTAGCCCAATGAACGTTACTTTCGTAGATAATTTATACAGAGCATTTCTTCCTAGTAGAAAGGATTTCAAAGGGAAATACTGGATTGGTGTATGTCCTAATTGATCACTCAAATGTTTACGTTGAAGGAAAATTTATTGTCGGTGCATTGGAACGTATTTATGACAGGTCCAGAAATACATACTATATGAAACAGCTTACTATTGATTTCGGATGTTTTCTTACTGCCCTCCAACGTAACCGTAAATTGGGTAATAATCCAATAATCGTTGGACCTCGCCCATCTACCAATGATTCCTTATGGAAAACAATTAGAGAACAAGAATATAAAGTTACGATATATGATCGAATTAGTGTTAACAAAGAAGTGCGTGTTGATACAAAAATTACGGTTTCTATGGTAATTAATTCCCTTGTTAAGATTAAGAATCCGGGCATCTTAATTCTTGCCGCTGGAGATGGTGATTACGTGCCTGCATTAGAGGAAATTATGAAGGCAGGTTGGAAAGTAGAAATACGATTCTGGACTTTATGTAAGTAAATGATACCGCTTTCTACAAGTTATTTTATTCGTACTTAAATTCTGTTCCATTTTTTAGCGACATCTCGTCACCTTAAAAATTTGAAAGTAGGAGAATTAAAGACGACATTTATTCCTTTGGATTCTGAATATAAGTCATTTACATTTGGCTTCGGTCCTGAACCTACAAAAAGAAAGAAAGTTCTTGAAATAACCCATAATAAGGATAAAACCTTGGAAAATAAAGATCTTTTGAAATGTTACGTGGGAATACGATCATTTTGTTGGTGGCACAAGGTTAATAACGGGATCTTGCAAATGTATTTTAATACTAATGCAGACTTGAAGATGGCAAATCGTTGGCTGGTAAAAAACTTTATGGAAATTCAAGTTTGGCAAAAAAGTTAGAATCTATATCTGATATATTATAATTCATTTTATCATGGGATCCTATTTTTACCCAAATTTCTCAAAGTATAATAATTCTCAAATTTTACTATTTTCACGAACCCGTGAAATGAGTATTTACAATATATTAATTTTGAACAATATCCTTTATTTTTCAAGTTTATATTAATTACTTTTCTGTTTCTTTTTTTTTTACTATTTCGAAAATCTATTGCTTCACAACCGTAAAGATATTGCAAATTAGCAAATATTTATAGTAAATTAGCAGGATATGGGTTGATTTTCTACCTTACATTTTAGTAAATAGCTACACTAGCCCAATATCAATTAAAATAATAAATCGGGCTTTATTTTTAATAGTATTTTGTGCATCGAAATATAATATATTCAATTCACTTGGAACTTTATTTATTAATTGAATCACGATTCAGCATAACAAATATTTTTATATTACAAGAATCTCACGTGAAATAATATATTTATCAAACAAATGAAAAAAGTTATTAATTAAATAATTGGACAATTAATCAAACACTGTCTCAATGTCGGCGCTTTGTGCTTCCGGAGTCAAATTTATTAAACAAAACGTCCATGCGAAATAGCCGCGGCTAATTTAAAAACTATTCTAGATGGGAAAATTGGGAAAATCACTTTATGTAAAATCAAAAGGATTATTTGTCCAGAGAAAGTTTTGAAAAGTGCTAACAACAATTTGTCCCATTCGTTTGTGTATTTAGTATTTTGTAATTATCGCACGGCCCTATAGGATTATGCTGAGTTTGTTTGACCGACCAATATTTTTTTATAATAGACTTTATTTTGCATTGATAGCTAATCATTGTACAATGTTGAACAGCTATAGTTTATTCGCGTACAATATTGTTATACTATAATGTGATGTTTCGAATTGAGAGATTAAAGCTAAAATAAAACAAACAAAAATAAAATTTATTAAAATATAATTCATAAACAAAATTTTAGCAAAATTCTAACCTTCTTTAGCTGTGGAAAATCCTTTATTCTTTTTGCATTATAATCATCATTAATATCTTCTACTTCTAAAAATTTTATCAATAAATTTTAATTATTAACAATAAAAATAAGTTTAATTTTATATACCTCGTTTTCTTTTAGTATAAACCGAATTGTTAATCATTTCAACTTGCTCTTGTTTCCTTGGTATTTCATAAGATTATAAACTTTTTATATTTTTGTGTCAAATTGCTAATTTCAATAAATTCTCTTGAAAATCCTAATTTTTGAAGTTCTTATACACCTTATACAAATGTTTTGCATCCAGTATGATTTATAATCTTTTGAACAGTGCAATTTATATTACACATTTTGCATATTTCATTTATACAAATATTTTAATTTATTTTGGCTAATATGAATTATTTATACCAACATCTTGTATATAAACTAATATTAAACAAAATTGATCATTAGTAAATAAAAAAAATTTTATAAACTAGAATTGATAAGAATTAATTTATCAAATTGTTTATCACATTCTTAATAATAGAAATTTGATTCAGCTAATTGAGAATGATAAGATAAATATTTTTCATAAACTTCAATTATATCTTGATTATTTAGTAATATAATTTTATCAGCTTTTTTATAATTTTCACTATTTATTAATTTGTTTTAAATTGATATTAAGTATATCATAACCACTATCATACCTTTTTTTAAAATCTTTTGCCATTAAATAAAAATGTTCTCCCTCACATAAACCCAATAATATTGTATTATAAAGAAAACTCTTTGAAATAATGATTATGATGTAGATCTATTTATTAAATAAAAGTTTAAAATCTTTTGAACTTCATTAGTAAATAATCCATTAGCACTATTATTTTCACTATAATCTAAATTTGTTAAATATTTAGTTTTTTCTGAATGAATTAATTAGAATTGCTTAATATATTATTATTATATAAATTGCAATTCAATTTAATAGAATGCTTATTTGAATAGTAATAAATTGCTAAAATAGTTACATTTATTAAAGAAATAGATATTTATTACCATTTTACTATTTTATTATTACCAAATATTGTGTTGATTAAGAATTCAAAAGTTTTATATTAATATCTTCTTTAGCATAAAATCTTTTTTACAGCCATATTCAAGTATTCATAAAATATTCACTTTTCTGATATTACAGAAAAATTAACATTTTTTTCCAAATATTTACTTGCAACTTTACTGTAAAATTTTATAAAATTATTATAAATAAAATTAATAACTTTATTTTGTATAAATTATAGCTTACAAAAGAATTTTTATAATTTTATTATTTTTATGTGATATATTCAAAAATAAAAAATAAAAAAAGAATAAAAGTTAAGTAAAGTTTTTTTATATATTTTGAGTATAATTTGCATTAACTATATAATAATATAAACATTATATAATGATTATTTGTATTGGTTAATATTATTTTATAATATTAATCAATATAAATAACATATTATAGACTATATATAAATAATTGTATATTTAATAATTAATTGATTTTATTATATATTTTATATTTAAGCAAATTTGTAAAATTATTTATACATTTATAAAGGTAATGAAATTGCATTAATTTTCTGATATTAGTATTTTTTTATTATTTATTATCTATAACTTTATAAAAAAAATAAAAATAGAACTTTATTTATCAAAACATATATTTATTTATAAAATATTCATTTGTTTCTTTGTTCTATCAAAACAGAATATTATATGACAATATTTTGTATAGCTTCTATTATTACAAAATTATATAATTCTGTTAACTTTATATGAGAATATCTGTATTTATATAAATAGTTTTGAGATTTAAAATTGAACCACTGAATTAACATAAGATTTAATAGAAAGCAGTCTTTTTTTATTTGTATTTCTGCTAATAATAAAGCTAAAATAATAAAGAATATTAATAATTTGTTATAATAAAAAACTAACAAATACTTAAAATTATTAAATTAACTAACCTGTCTATAACAAATTTTCTGATCTGATATATATTCATTTGATTATTTAAAATCCATTAAAATTGTTAGTCTATTAAACTATACTCTATTGTGATAATTGCTAGTAGCATGTATTATAACACCAATTTCTAAAATCTCTAATCTATATATTTTTATAAGACTTTTATCAATTGTTAGATTTTAAAATAATTCCAGATAAAAATTCAGACAACTTAAAAACTTGTTAAGCCTAACTTCCATTCTATTATTAATTATAGTAGTTTTTTTATTTTGTTAAAAAATGTATTTGCATTTAGTAATGAAAATTCGAAAAGCTTTTCAGAAAAGTTGTATGAATATAATAATTTTATTAATTCACTGTTTATTAAAAGAAATTATGTGATATTACTTAATATTTTATTTGTTTATATTTGATATTATATTTATTATTAATTATTAATTATAAAAAATTATCAAATTATCAAATACTTACAGTTTATAAATGCTGAGTTTTGATATCCTTTTTGTTGCTTATCCTATATGAGGATTTAATAAAATCCTTGTAAAAACTTTCGTAAGTTTCTGTCATATAGCTATTAATTGCATCATACAATTGTATTGAATCAATAATATATATACCCATGAATATAACTTTGAAATCTTTAAATAGAATAAAAAAAATTCAAAAATTTAGATTAACCTTTTAACCCAATTATTTATTGCATTTTAAAAAATTTTGTTATTAATTTTTATTTTTTTAGATTTAATTTAATAAAAATATTTATCAGCTTACTTGAAATTTATTGAAATCATCTTCACTAAATTATTCAGATCTACTTATAATGTACATTTTATTTCAACTTTCATATAATTTTATAAGGTTATTGTTACATATGAAATTATCTACTTTTTTATCATGTTCAATATACAAATTATCTAATATAAATATTATTTGTTTCATCAAAAACTAATATTTATTAGCAGTTAGTCTTGCAATTTGTAATCCTTTAAAAAATACTTTCAGATTAAAAAAATGAGAAATTGTAATTATACAGAAATCTATTTCGTCAATTAAGGCATTTTATATTGAGATCATAATATTTCTCACGTAAAATCAATTTAATAGTAAAATAAACCAAGATTTAAATGATGTAATCTAACAGGCTTATAGCTAAATAAATATTTATGTCTCTAAAGATTTAAAATAATTATTATTATAATTTAATTTTTGACTTTACATTAAATTATAAATACTTATGGTAAATTCCAGAAAAAATTAGATATTGCTTTATAATAACAGATTTTTCAGTATATTTATCAAAATATTTATACATATTTTTATAAGATCTAAGTTTTATATTATCAGACAATAAACTTAATTTTGATAAGATTATTCCTTGTTAAAAAAGTTGCTTTACGTTGTAACAGTGTAAAATTTTGGCTAAAATCTGATTACAAATCCAATTTCAATTAAATATCTTTGTTTATCATCTCATCGATCCTGATGTCAATTTTATGTCCTGAGATAATCAATGTAAAACATTGTAAATCCAGATGTCAATTTTATTTTCAGTGTAATGGGTAACTTTATTGACATGATCATCTTTGCTGATCAATTTTGTCAACTTGATAATGTCATTTATTTTTCATAGATATATTTAGTTTAGTTTATTTTATAATTATCAAACATGTATAAATATCTTTATATTTTT